TCTACTATCTCGAAAAGTATGCTATCTTGAAAAGAAGCCCATGGGCTTCTTTTCGAGGCTAATTTTGCAAACTAAAGAGGGGGCTTCAATTTGAGATGGGCTTCATCTCAAGGTTTTATGGTATATGTGCAAGTATGCCTGTGCTGGGCCTAACCCTACACTCTGTAGTGGCACCCTGTAAAGTTCTATCCAGATTATCAAATGTTCTTTGACTAAAAACTGTTGTATGCCCAAATATAGTCATAATGCTCCTATATATGGCCATGATATGATGTCATCATGACCATATTTAGGCATGTCATACACTTTTGTTAAATAATGAATTTAAGGCTAAAGAAAAGTATTCTTGAATATGACAGTAAACATGTTAACCATTTAAAATTCCAAGTTTCTTCATTTTATTTATATTTTTTCTGTTCTTTTTCTCTATTCTCTTTTTCTTATCTTTTTATTCCTACTCATTTATTTATCCTGGGTGTAGTTTGTGTGTTTTTTTTTTGTTCTTTGATGGAAGGGCAATAGATGAATATTGTAAAGTACTTTATAATTACTCCATAAACATTAATCATTAATTGCAGCCCTACAAACATATAGGACTCGCTTTTGAATTTTAATTGCAGTGCCTGTAGCCGCCTATCAAACCAAGAGTAATAATTAGAACCGAGTAGTAATCGAGGTTGTACCGACCAATATCTTGCGCAAAAGCTAGTGTATCCCAGAAACAGCAGGGTTAACTTCCTGGGAAATCGGGACCATTGGGAATAGGCAGCTAATTTTGTCCCATTACCAATAATAAATTTTAAGTAGGTTCCAGCAAATCTGTCCCTGCTGTAAATGTCCTCACATGTTGCGCTTGATTTACAATATACACACTAAGACAGGCTACAAGCATTTATACTTGACTGGTTACATCTGCAGTCTGTTCATGTTATGTTCCATTTATGTTACTATTAATCTTACACTTTGCTTTCTAGGTTTCTAATGGTTTTGAAAGATGACAGGAAAGGTTGCCAGAATAATCATTAATTTTTTTCCCAAGTTTATTTTATAGTGTGAAATTTTTATTGCTAGTTTTAATATTGAAATGTTTATTGAGCGATAATTGTGGGTTCTGGAATTGGTGTAAACTAAGGACAGTGACAGTACTTGTAGAGATTTGATTGGTCAAGTGGTGCCATAACATACCCATAATTCAACTTTCAGGTCATAGAGGTGAAATTGTTGTGGTTTCTATGGCAACAAAACTATTTAAAGCTTATTGGTTTCATCAAAGTATTAAATATAATTTTTGGCAAATTTTATTCTTGGAAACAACATATTCAAAATTGAGTTTTTGTTTCTATATATTTTGTGGGTTAACATGGGAATTAATTTATACTAATTTAATTTACCTTTACCTTTTTTTAACTTTCCTTCTTCTCTCCTAAGTCGCTTTTATATAATTACAACTATTTTGTGCTGTCTTGAATCATCCTAACTGAAACAATTTGTGATTACCTGGCAAAGTTACACGTCAAGCTACCCTGGTTTAACCAAGACAATACGGTCCATTGGGATCAGGAAAGCCAGTTTCGGTTTGAAGAATTTACTTGAAAGAAATATAGAAATGCATGAACCAATTTTACATCACAATCTTGAATCAGGACATTACTCTTCTAAATTTCAACAAGGGAAAAATGCTGTTTACATTATAGAAAAAATTATGTGGTTTTTATGGCAACAAAACTATATCATTTTAAAGAGAAATTATACCATGGAAATTTCATGGTCATATGAATGAATTGGAGATACTAGTCAGTGTTATAAGCCAATTTTAAATAGCCGGTTTTATATGAGCCTAGCTATTTTAGGCAGTCCATATGAGCTGGTTTTATTATAGTATTAGCCTATATGCCTATAGCATAATATTTATAAATAAATTGGTTCTTGGCCATTTTTACCTCTTTGTTCTCTGACGTGATTGTAAGCAAAGTGAAACATAAGTTTTTGTTTTTGTTGCCTTGTAGAATGTTATCAAAAGATTAACCTTTTTCTTTGATAGCGTCAGTCGTAGTTTATTTAAGAATTCTATTTTTTGATATTAAAAGATTTACTTATATGAGAAAGGTCTTGATAAGCTTTCAAACAAACCTGCCTAAAAAGAAAGTGTAATTATAATTATGAAATTATGTTAGGTTAATGAAATTCGTTTAAGACCACATTAGAGGATGCTGGTGTATTTGAATTGGGAGGGCGTTTACATCGACTCGTGTCCTTGTCTTTCTATTGGAACCAATGACAAGGGAGATGTCTGCATTTCTTTGGATCTGGGGAGCATACTGCTGGGAAAACCTTGCTAGCAGGCAGGCCATGCATCCCCAACAAGCCTTGTTAAGCCTCCCGCTGACTAGTTATCTGCATAGCTCTGCAGCCGAGGTCCAGCCCTTTAGCTCTGGCAAGGTTCCTAAGGTAAAGGATATACCTAGGCCTACTGTGCACATGCTTACCCCATGCTATGCAATATGCAAATCTAGCAGGCACCACCCATTAGTAGCTGGAAAAAAATCTCCACCTCTGGTGATTATAACGACGCCTTAGGCAAAACCGTTGAGGTCATTGTATTGTGAGGTTGGAGTTATCAACAAGCTAGTCAAATACCCTTTTGTGTAAACTAATGGTAGACAAAAAATAATAGGCCAGCGAATGCAAGGTAGTGGAATGATGGTAATATGATTGGATGTCAGTCATGGAGCCATGACAAATTCATGTCATTTGCTTTATCAGTCCTAGTTTTCCCTGCCTGTCAATCATTTAATAGTAAACAAATCTCAGCTCACACGTCTATCATTGGGATTTTTTTTTTTATTATTATCAATTCATGTCATTTGCATTGGAGAATAGGCAGCTTATCCATAAGACATATGTTAGCTAGTATACTGTGTATGATTCTTTAATGTATAGACTAAACCATATAACATATGTTAGCTGTTGTACTATCTGTCCTTTTCATTTTATTTTTATATACTTCTCTACATGCAGCATCTACCTCAGAGCATTACTGTACATGTATTGCTCTGACATCACTAGAATATTTTCTGTGACAAATATCTATGATTTGCCCATTTATAGGCATGATGATATCATCTCATCCATATATAGTCATGGTGGATTTTCCCCCAGAGTAGTACTTCTTTTGCTCAGTGAGCCAAATCATAATATCATCATCAGTACAAAATAGAAATGCTTTTTATAAAAGTTTTCCCTATTGTGAATTTGATTATGTTGAATGAAAAGTTATATATTCCTTAGGGATCAGGAAATAATATTTCTTCATTGTTTTGGTTTCATTTTTGCTTCTTTTTTCAACAGTTTTCTGTAAATATTCCAACTCTCAGTTATTCTCAGACAACCTTGAAAGGAGTTGTCTTTCGTATTGATAAATTTAAGGTTTAAACATATTTGGCATGTGTAATTTTCCATATTACCAATGATCACAAAATATGAAGCGATTCAAGCTGTTTGTAATTCATATTCCCACACTACAGACGAAAAAAAATGGATGCACTGCCTAAAATCTACTGCTATAAGACAACAAGGTTTAAAGCCTTTACATATGTATTAAGAACACATGGAATCTATCACGATGAATCCTTATCTATAGCGGGCCAAATACTGATGACTCTGTTGTTCGCTTTCCTTTTGGTCTTCATTGTGACCTTTCTAGGTGACCTTTGACAGTAGATGAAACATTTGCCGCTGTCCTACAGCATATTGATGCAATAAAACAAAAGCCTCTCAGGTAAAAGTTATGAGAGATGCAATCCTGTAAATTATTTCGATTCATTGCACATTTTGATATAATTGGCTGAATTCTGTTGCAATATTATCATTGTTTTTACTGGTAATTTTTTATACATTTTAAAAGGTAAATTTTTATTGTTTACTGAGTATGTAACTTTTGTTAACACTTTTTTTTTTTGTAATTCATATTAATTTTGCTCTAAATTTGTATGTAAACAAAAGTAAAATCTATCTTTGATAAAGCTTCTGTTATGTGATATTGAAGTTAGCTATCATTAAAAATGACTGTAGTAAATGCCTAATCAATCTTCGGAAGCTATTATTTTTCAATTGCTTTTTTTTTTTTGTTAATATCTGTAGTAAGTTTTCCAAAAATAAACACAAATTGAAAACAGTAACATGCACTCACCGGTCCGTGAAATATTGCGAGGGAAGTTGCTTGGCAGTGTTGGACTTGAAATAATAATGTTCACACGTTTAGTCTTGCAAACTGATATAACGAAATATTGGTTGTGACATGGGCAGGTCAAAAAGCCTTCTATGTGCTCCCTTGGGATAAGAAACAGTGGTGTGTATGATTCATAAGGATTCAAGATAACAACCGTGTCATGTTATTGTAGTTTGTACTTTAGGTGAGATGGAAGGAAAAGAAGAAATTTGCACAGGTCATTGTGTCTTGATAAGTAAGAAGCTCCCTGGATTAAGTCCCCAAAATAATTCTCATCTGCAATATTAAATGCTCAGGAAAACGGTTTTAATATAATAACTCATTTTGTTATTGAATTTAGACAATATTTTGGTATGTTATAAGTACTACAAGGCATGTTATATTACATACCTCTTTTTTTTTCCATTGCAGCCTATAAAAAGATATATTAACGATATTTTCATTGTAATTTTAGAGTAATGGATTTAATAATTAGTGTTATTTTTGCTTAAATTAAAGAATAAATGTAGCAGAAGACAGTGAAATCTTCTCTTTTGTCAATCTCTAAACATTGGATGATTTCTTAACCATGTTTTAATGTCTAGATTTATTTTTATATTTTATAAAAAGAAGCAATACTAAAATGATTAAAAGGAGAATGATTTAATAATGATATAGAAAAAGTTTATTGTCATGTTGTTTTAATAGTTCTTCAAGGCAGTATGACTTTAAAATAATATATTCATATCAGTATAGCTATCATTTAAATATCTTCTATTTTTGTCTCTTGCAGGAATCATAATCAAATTAAAAGCATCAGTCAGTCTGCTATAGCTATGTTCCCGCATATGGAAACGTTGGACCTCAATTTCAACACACTTACCAAAATAAAGAACACCTCATTCCCAGCAAATAACAGCATAGAACGACTGTAAGTGCTTTGCTATAGATAACACGTTCCTCTCTCCTGTTAATTTTACAATGATATACGAGTGTTCTCATCAGGTCGTTATTCATTGCGGGAAATGCCTGGTTTACATCAGCCAAATTCCTATTATTTATGATTCCATACTAATTTCTCTTTCATAGTGCACTATGAAATAATATCAGTAATGAATGTTGCCTATTAGCACAATTATTTCTAGGGTAAAAATGAAAATGTGTTACATTTTATTGTTTTATAACCTCTGGCTGATACATAAAGCGATGAAACATCACTCAAAAATATCGAGTCTCTTTCAGATATTGCATATGATTATGAATTCTTTTTTTTTTTTTCGTACTATTCATTGATTTATCCATTAACCTACTTCTCCCAAGGGAGTGACAGCTACATAATGTTTCATTTTTTTTTTTTTTTTGGTGCTATTCATTACATTTGCTAATTTCGAGGTAGGAAAATGTGCTTTTTTTTAACCTGAATTGCGTATGGATATGGTCCGTGACTACTTAGCAGCTAGCCGTAAAGAGGCGCTTCATGGTAGATACATGTTCATATCATTCCTCAACGACAGAGACTCAAATGAACCATAACATCGGGGTCACCCCCTACTCTTCCAAAAGATGCAATGGGTTCTTTAAAGTGCATGAGCCAGATGTATTC